TCCGAATTGCAAGCTCTTCTGAGCCCCTACAAGAGTGCTGCCTGTTGGCGAGAGAGTCCACTATTGAGAAGCTTCGAAGTAAAGAATTCTGAGCTATGGCTGCGAATGGGCCCAGCAAGTGCTGTGTGTGGGGAGCTGAGACTACCCTCCCTAGAGAGAGCGCGATCCTTCGAAGTGTCTACAGTTGGATTCTTCTTCGGGAACTCCGTGTCAGCTTTGGTTTTTATGTTCATACGGATCCAGAGGTCTGCAATGTTGTGCTTTCTTTGACTCGCTTTGCTGCACAGATTGGGTTCGGGATGTGACGCTGCAATCAAACTGCGTCAGAATCGCCGGTTTGTTCTTAGGCCCATTTCTCGCCTTCGCCTTGCTTATTTCCAGTTGCGATCTTGGCAATCTTGGAGAGGCAACAACATGTTGTGTCTTGGTCATCTGACTCTTTCGCATAGGAAGCAGAAGTGACGCGATGACGAACGGGTTGTCACTTCCAGCAGCTTGCCAGATGTCTCCACTTGAAGGAAAGAAGGCGTGGCTGGTCTGCAAAGCGAAGGAAACTTCCTCTCACAGGAAACAAAACATGCTAGAAACGTGCCACAGTGGCTGAAAGTCCTTTCGGGGATTGCAGGCTCCAGTTGCTGGCCAGAGGAACAATTTAGTCTGTTTCCGCAGGAAATGCAGAGTAACAGATTCGTTTCTGCAAAAAAGTCTTGTTCAAAGTACCATGGGCTGTCAAGTTGAAGAATTGTAACAGAAGATAGGATCTGACAGCTTGCAGGCAAGTCGCACATCCAACAGACATTTAATCTGACTCTTACAGGTCGTGCTTGTCACGCAGCAAGACTTTTGCTCTTGCAGAGTCTCAACAGCTTCTCTGCATCGCAGTGCAACTTGTCAGGAGTAACTCGCGAGTAGCAAGCTCGGACATGTCTTATCAGTTTTACCGAGTGTCTGCTAAGTCCAGTGCCCGCTATGCACAGAGCACGCTCGCGCAGTGTTCAATTGAAAAAACTTGTTTTTGTTATTGTTGTTGCTGTTGTTATTGTGTTATTGTGCTTGTGATTGTGCTTGTGATTGTTACTGATTGTTGTTGTTATGTTCGTCGCAAAGCGAGGATAGTTTCACGAAGCAACCGAGGACTTCTTCCGCTGCGAGTGAATGAAATGTTGTTGTGTTTGCTTTCCGGAGAACAACCAGTATTGGAAGAGTTTGTGCTTGAACGTGAAGCTTGAAATCAAAAGTTTTGGCACAAGTTGCAACGTGACTCACTCGCTTGGAAAGCTTTTCCGCCATGCCGAATTGCGAGGAATGTGCCGCAAAGTTGTGGAGCGGAAACAACAGAACGCTTTGGTTTTTGGTTTGGCTAGAGCTCTTGATTCTTCCACGATGCTGCAGCCGCGGTCATGAGTGGAAGTTTTCAAACGGAAACGACAATGAAGATGGTTCCTACTGCCATCTGCACTGCACAGCCCGGTTGCAGGAAGTGTTTCCTGCCAGCGAGGAGGACGACGAGAAAGCACCAACGCACAAGCGTTGCAATTACAAGAAGACGTGGTGAAACCAGGGTGACTTGCCTTACTATTTGCCGGCTTCAATGACACCTTCGCAGTACCTTCGGACATTGTATTGGTTTTCTTCGGACGCACCCCAGAAACAGGTACTCACAGAGACTGGTCTTGCTGAGAAAACATGGGCCAAGATCCGCAACAAGATCCGAGATCTGCTTTGGCTTGTTATTCAACAGCAGTTCAATCGTGTGCAACTTGGTGGTCCTGGCCGTGTGGTCGTCATCGATGAAACCTTTTTCACCAGGAAGATAACGAATGCAGGAGGCTTTGTTGGAAGGAGCACCATGGGTAACAAGACCATTGTTATGGGCTTTTTGGAGTTGGACTTGGCGACCAGAAAAGCTACAGGCGCATGTGTCTTGATTACCATTGCGCCATTGCGAACAGGAAACAGGCAACTTTGAAGCGGGAGATTGAGACACATGTGTTACCGGGTTCCCTCATCTTCACGGACCGGCACAAGTCGTACCACTTCTTGGGACGCAGACAAAGCCAGTACGTGCACCGAGCTGTCAACCACAAGGCTGGTGAGTTCTCCCGCATGGAACGCATATTTGGTCAGGACATCAACGTCACGACCAATGCGGTGGAAGGTTTGTTTGGACGCTTAAAAAAGTACTTGCGCCAACGTGAATATCTCCGGATTGGCAAGCGGGCCTATGGCGAAGTCCTTGCAGAGTTTCTGTGGCGGCAAAGATGTTCTGCTTTTCGCGTAGAGCCCTTCTACAACTTGCTGCGCGAGATTAAAGTTTGGCAAGATGTGCATCCCAGGCGGCCGCAAGCGGATGGGAGTGCAGACAGCATCAGTTTGATGTTTCTGGAAGGCTTATTGCCGTTAGAATATGGAGGGGTCCTGTTTTAGGATTAGAG